ACTTAATTAGATCCCGGTCGTAGCACCTATGGCTCTACGCCGTAGATCAGAAACAAAAAATCTGAAAATGAAACAAATGTTTAAAACAAATAAGTATCTACGTTAAAATAAAAAAAAAAAGTTTGATAGAATAACCTCAGTTATGTGTATTATGATTATGTTCAAGATAGATATTTACGAAAATCAAACAATTTTCTAAGTATAATTTTGTTTAGAATTTTCTATAACTGTTATACAGTATAGTCGGATGCTTGCGATTTCGTCCTCGTGAATTTAAAAATAAAAAAGTATAGCCTATGTTACTCACTTATAACTTAGCTTTTTAATAGTGAAAGTATATATTAAAGCGGCCGAGTAGTTTTTGCGTTATTTCTATGCATGTAAAAATACAAAACTTTCCTCTTTATAACATTAGTACAGATTGCTGAAAAGATTACATTTGCCCTTATTTTATGAGAAAAGATTTTTTTAGATACGTTTAAAAAATATTCTAATAAGAAATAAAAATGCAAGCGTAAAAGAATAATGTATATAAATGGAGACCTTATTTGAGAATATTGAATGGGCTCTGGTCAGTAAAGACGTCAATTTCAAACTAAATATTCAAGGATGTTGTTTACTGAATGGCGGATCCTATTAGATTTTGTAATTCGATGTAAACTCGATTGACAGGAGGACCTTCGCATGTGTCGAAACTGAATAATGTTTCGCAATGTTGCGAAATATTAACTGATTTAATTCATTGAATCTTATACTTGTCACTCAGAGAACTTAAATGGGCATATAAGCTGTCCCTTCAGATCAACATCGGCTTATCATGCATCCCCACCGAGGGGCTCAGCGCCTCTGAAAATTCTAATAGGTACATAGCGGGGATAGAATCTAAAGCTGTACATAATGTTTCGGTCTGGACAAGCGCTTGCACCACTGACGCTCTATTTTATATACCAAATGTAAACTAAGTGTATCGCTGAGGGATGTAGAGAACGTAGAGTAGGAATAGATGAGAATCGTTTTACGATCCGTCTTGCGGATCTTCAAATCCCTTCTCCGAAATGTCATTGTTCAAGGTCGCGAAGCTAAGCGCGACACCCAACAAATGTCAAATGCAAATATAATATGGAAACGAACATACCTACTTCGATTCTAATTTGGACAGATCTTACCTACTCGTATACGTTGGGGATTTTATGATCTTATAGTCGTTGTTAAATTGAATTTTACTATTAAACTATTGCGATACATTCAATACTCATACGAGATCTTGAAGGTGAAATCTTTGAAATTGTACTGTAAAATGTAAATTTAATAGTGTTGGCACTTAAAGATTTCGCAATAAAAGGCGACGTGTTTATATTAAGTTTAATAAACTTAAACGTATGTTACAACACATCGACTTTATATTATTATCTTTCTGTACTGTATATCTATAAATATATCGTATGTTTTCCGTTACTTGATCTATAATAAACTTTAATTATATTGCACTAACTATACCCAGTTGTGTGTGTAATAATATTTAATAGATCAATTTAATGAAGCATTTAATATTTTAATTACAATAATTAATTTGCTGGCAATTTAAAGGTCGACGCAGCATCTGCAGTTAACCTTCTTTTACAAATAAACTGGCCTCGATGATTTCTTAAAGTTAAACCACTTTTCGTTTGTCCCCAACATATCGTACTAATTTTCATAGAAAAACCGAGGTGTAATTTTCATTGCGCACTGGCACAATGTAACAGTGAAAATAGGCAATAATATGACATAAATAAAAGATGGAACAAGTTGCATGTCGTGTATAGAATACTCTTGTTCTCGACGTGCCAAATGTATACATCGTGTAAATCCGCACAGAGATCGATTTTTTGCAAACGGTGCGGTATGCCATGCAAATTCCTTTTTTGTTCCCATGCCCCTTAAAATACAGAATGGTATTCCATCGCATCCGGCGCGGCCCCGAAATATTGTATGTCTGTCTGCGTAGGCGCAAAGTCAATGAGGTTCTACAAAATAAAAATACAACGCCTTGGGACAGTGTTGTAGCAATTTTATTAACCAAGGTTTGTTCTAACCGTAGGCTTCCATTACTAATATAATTGAAACACAGAAATAATTAAAATATTTATGTTTCGGTGTTTTGACAGTGAAAGACCAACATTATCGAAATGCTGAGCTTTTTGAGCTTATAGAAAGCTCTAGAGATTTAGACCAAGAAAGCTGATATTAGTGAAATAAGATTAGGTTTTGCGTAAAAGACAGGATGCGACCTACATTTTTATTACCTTTTTTTACTTAAAACTTCGGTGTTTCTGCAAGATACCATATCTAGACGTCTATCGACCCAGCAGTTTCCTGCCCACGTATCTCTGAATGACCTAGACGGGCAAGTAACCTTTAGTGCTAGCCGGCTCTGGTCTAGGCTAGAGGTGAGATAATTATTAAATTAATATGTGTCGATTTGCCGTGACTGGCGCAGCATTGCGTTTTGTAAAAAGAAAATTGCTGTCCAAGCAAGTTCATGATAGCAATTTCATTAGTGCCATCGTTAATGAATCTAGAAATCAGATATCACTATATTCCTGTATTTACCAAGTTGTATCCATCAAATAACCATTTGGTTGTTTTAAATACCTTTTACGTCATAAAAGAGCGTCTGTAGCTCAGGGGTTTGAGCACTTGATTTGCAATCAACAGGTCTTGGGTACGAATCTCGCCATGTACTACCGTGATTTCCTATTTTTTGAATGTCATAAGTACATAATTTACTCGATGTTCTTACTGTGAAGGAAAACATCGTGATGCAACCTGACATTGGGGAAGAAATTCAAAGATATGATATATATCAATGGAATTATATAGATTACAATTACCTAAATACTTATTTAACTTCATGTCTTGTTAAAATAGATAACTAGACGAAGTGGGACCAGCTGATTTGTTACAGAAGTCATACATAATGCATATCGCTAGTCGACTCGACCCGGATGTTACATAGTCTAGGAGATAAACACCTAATCATTGCAAAGTTCGTTAACGATATTCATAATTTTTTGGGACAAATTATTATTTCAAATTTTCTTAACTGTTTGAGATAACTAAAATTTTTAAAATTGATTTACGTAATATTAAATTTAACATTCTATTTTTTTCAGGTCTTCTTACTCTCCAACAGTTACTTAATAGTATAAGGTGAAAATTGTAATGATCTTTAATTGCACCAAACACGGATGGGTTATCATTTAATTCTAACATTAGAGCATTATGTTTTCTTGAACTCTTACGAAAATAAATATAGTAAATGTTTAAATATAACGTTGGTTTACAAATTAAATTTAAAGTAAGTTAATGCATTAAAACTATCAATTAACTCTTAGACTAGGATCGCGTGGTGCCACGCTGCCACGCTCACTTGGCGGCAAAAAGTCGCTAGAGCCGTTTCATGATGTCATCCTACTGTGAAACAACTCTCGTTGTCTAACGGAATTTGTTACCAACACGTTGTTAATCAATAACAGTAAGATATGATATACATATTTCTATTAGTATAGATTTGTATACCGAAAGGTAGCAAAAAATAGACCCTAATTTAAAAAAAAAAACTCCCGCACTTAAAGTCGTAACCTGCACAAAGCTTCTTGATGGCCACTTAACGGCTCTGAGTGAGGACGTTAGTGTCAATTTGACACTTACATGCTATACCTTAAGTAAAGAAAAATCGAACCTGTAATATTAACAGAAGCATAAGCGTATTCACACCTTTGACATTATTTTCTTATCAGGAAAATTAGATTGGTTATTAAGGGAAACCCTTAGTGGAAATCTGAACTGCGTACTTCTAGACTGCGAGCCAGTAAGTGCATATAGAATGCTCATTGATTAAACTTATCATGAGGTGATAGAGGTTATGGTATAGGAGAGGCT